CTTCACCGGGGACTGACTCGTCGCTAGAACCATCGGAGCCCTCGAAACCCTCTGAATCCTCGGGACCCTCAGGTTCGTAGAGCTCCTTTGCCTCGACCTAGAGCCTCCAAGATTCTTCAATCTTGGCCGACAGGTCAAAACCTCGGGCATGGATCTCTTCGAGGGTCTCTCTCCGGGATAGTCGCTTCTTGTACTCAGTGTTCGTCTTTAATCGGCTCTTGGCTACCTCCACATCGGCCTTGTACTAGGCCACCATTTTCCCAGCATCAGCAGAGGTTGCATCCAATTTAGACCCCAGTACGGCATATTCTTGTCCGAGAGCATCCCGTTCTGCGATGGTCGAGCTCAGCTGTGCTCGAAGATCATAATTTAGCCGAGACCACCTATCGGCTTTGCCCTTCGCCACCCGGAGTTGGTTCTCAACCGATGCCAACTCCACCTTAGCAGCTTCCTTCCTTGAAGCCAGCAGGTCCATCTTGCCATTCCATACTTCGGTCATGGCCTTGACCTCATCCATCTCAACTTGAAGCTGGTCGATAAGATCTATCTTCTCTTGGACCTACGAAGTTGTGTTGTTATTCACCACGACTAGCTGCTCATTTTTAGCCTCAAAGATTGTTACCTTCTCAACCTGGCATGCTCCGCTTTAGGTCTGAGGCCTCTTTCTATGCTTTTTCCAGCTCGGCCTAGAGAATTGGGAGGTCTTTAAGGGCCTCATCCTGCTTCTCACTAAGAGCCCTATACATGTCGTTCTTCCGGACCTGCTCTTTGAGCTCGAGCTGGCTAATCTCCAAGAGGTACTGGAGGAAGCTTTCATGATGAAGCACTGAAGCTTGAAAATAATTAAGTTAATAGAGGGCATCAAAAACCAAAATACGCCTTACCTGGTTCAGCGCCTATTGCGCCTCATTGAAGAGGCTCGACGTGCCCACTTCATTCATTTTTGTCTGGTCCTCCTCGGTCACTAGGCATCGAAGGTAGCTGGCTACACCTACCGAAGCAGACAGGACCTGAGCATCCTCCAGGATTTTAAGAACGACCATTCTATTACGCTCAGGGTCCACGCTCAGCGCAGGAAATTGCTTCACTAGTTTTGGGCTCAAACTCAGCCCGCTCGCTCCCGATGGCACATCCTTCTTCGAGACCTCCAGGTGAACAAGCCTGGAAAAATCCTCCAGTGCGGCCATATCCATGCCATCGAAGAACGAGTTGAGGGCGTCATCAGGGCCCTGCGCCACCTCACTTGACTTCTGTTTGCCCGCTTGGGCCTCTTCGAGCATGAACTCGGTATAGGAGGGTGTCTCCACGATGTCAATGACACTGACTGCCTCCTTTGGGACAAGAGAGGCTTTCTGGGGGCCGCAACCTCCGTCTCTCCCTCTGGTTCCTGAGTAAGAGGTGGATCGACCTCACGGTCCTTTTTCTCGGTCGTTGCTTGCTCTACCTCGTTGAGGGTCGTCCTATGAGCAATTAAAAAGGTCATCATCCTCGACTCGTTCCTGAGCCGGTAGAGAGAATCAGGGACTGATACCCTAGACTATATTTTAGGTTTCAAACCCGGATGGTCACTTTCTTCTTCTTTGCCTCGGCACCCGGAGAACCCGAGGACTTTCTTTTCTTCTTCTTCTTTTGCTTCGCGGTAGCCCCGGGCTGCCCCGAAATGGAAAGTTCGGCAAGCAAGGACGATCCTCGTCCTCGTCCAACAACCTAAGTTCGGTGGTCTTAGGCAAACCTGTAAGATAAGAGAAAGGGTTAGCACTGTGTAAGTTAAGAGGATGGTGGTAATTATTCAGGGAAAAACCTCACCGTGGGAATGGGCCTCCCATTTGCCTTTCGAAAGCTTACGCCATGCGCGCTCGGAGTACGACGTCTACTTGTAGATTCCCTTCATCCACTCCTTGAATCGAGGAATTGCATTGGGAACTTGGGCAACAGCTACACGACAGCAAAGACAAGCAATAAGAGAAGGAATAAAAAGAAGTGATACTTAAGGAAGACAACACTTACGAGATACGTTCCACTTCTTGGGGAACGATAGAAACTCAGGAGGGATCAGGTCCTCGGTTCTCACCCGAACAAACCTCCCCTGCCAGCCTCGGTCTTGGTCCTCGTCGATGCTTGAGAAATGAGCCTTGCTTGCTCGGCGACCGAGTTTGATCAGCCCCCTCAAAAAATTCGAGGACTGTATAAGCGGAGTAGATGGTCGAGGGTGAACCTAGGGTTTTCAGTATTATTCAAAAAATGATGTAAGAGGATCACGATCCTCCAAAATAATGGGTGGATTTGCCCAAGGTACACCTCGTACCATTTGCAGAAAGCGAGGACTATGGGGTCCACCTGAGCAAGCGTGAAGGGATAAGTATAAACACTTAAGTACCCCTCCACGTGGGTAGTGATGTCATCATTGGGCCCGGTGATGACCACATCCTTACCCTACCAGTTACAGTCCGCTTGGACTATGGGTAGAGTTTCCTCGATAACGGAGCATACGTATCTCCATGTTCCCTCGCCTCGGTCCTGTTGACTAGAGGCCTCCTCGACAAGGAAGTCGTTCCAGATAAAGCATCTCATTGGTACGAAGCTCTTCATGGAGGGCTCTTGAGTCACTTGGGTGGCGGCCACCTCGGCACCCGTGGCCGGGTTGGAAAATAAGGGTGCAGCTTGTTGAAGCACGGACTTGGAAGTTTTAGCCATCATGATCTGGGAAAATACGAAGATTTGAAGAAAGATATGAAGATTTGAAGGAAAAGTATCAAGATTTGAAGAAAAAATATGAAGATTTGAAGGTGGGATGAAGATATGAAGGTCTGGGTTGGAAATCCAAGAAAAGTGTATGAGGATTAGAGATGAAGATATAAAATTTCAAGGAGCAATGTATGAAGATTTGAAGAAGTTTAAAACCATTAGAAAGTTCGAGGGTAAAATCTAGAATCAGAAAGTAAATGGAGTGAAAAAGGTCGAAGCTTTTATAGGGGAAAGGCGGTCAATGCGCGACGTTTTGCATTCGAATGTAGCCAGCCGATGACTGACACATGTCCGAAGTCAGAACGACGCGACTGATGGGGCATTTCGATTTACCCGTCACCTCAGTTATAACGTACGAAGGAAGGAACAGGATCATTTATCGTTTTCCATCGTTTCAGCAAACCTACTCTCCGAAAAACGAGGGACTATCTGCATACGGGAAAAATCGGGGATCCCAGTGAAGAAAACGGAATAAGGGCACGGACACACGAGATTGAAATCGAGGATGAGAGCCCTTCGTATCAAGATCCATGAAGGGTGAACGGTGTGCTCATCATCAGGCCTGATAAAGTGACGGCGTCGGACCCAGAGTTTTAAGACCTCAGGAAACACGATAAACGGTTACACGCGATGGATATAGGGTCGTGATATTCGCACCCAACCGGATATCACGCCGCGAATCTCGCTCAATGTCGGTTACGGATCAGTAATTAATGAGAAAGGAAGATTTTTATCTTTTTTAGACATGTACCATGGATGAAATTCTCCTACTATATAAAGGGGAAGTTTTCTTTTGTAAGACACATTGTAACACGCAAATCAAAGCAATACAAATTCATTTTCTGCCTTTTAGCTACAGCAAAAATTCTTATTTGATTGTTATGTTCTCCATTCACAACTGAGCTTGAACCAAGGGTCCAATTGAGGGCAAAATCACTGTTCAACCTAAGTTCGGGCTAGGCCACAATATTACAACTGGTTTGGTCGTTTATTTTGTCTTTAACTCGTTTATCAAATATTCTTGATTATTTGTGTTGAATCAATCTACGTATCCTTAAAACCGCGTACAAATTTAATTATTTATCCGATTTAGGGGTAAACAGGAGGTTTTCTAAAAACCATAAGATGGTGTTCACTTTTAAAATTGTTTTTGGAAACGGAGCAAAGGATTTAAAACCAAAACCTATTTAAGCACTTTTTAAATTTGATAAAGATTTTCCAATAAGTTAGTCCAAAATTTTTTCCTAAAACTGGCCAAACTTATGTGCGAAGACATGATTTATAGAATTTCGGCGTAAGCTAAAAGTTAACTCCCACAAAGTAGGCAATTAAGATATTGATACTTGTAAGAACAAGTTAATTAGTCAAGACTTTTCCATAGTTGATGAGTAGCAACGGAAGGTAAAAATGCTGCACAAGCAGGCTGTTGTTGGGTAGGAAAAAGAAAAAGAGAAACACCTATGATATTTTCCAAGGGTTATAGTTGTCTTATTGAATGCCTACTTTCATGAAAAGTCATGTATTTACTAGAGATAAATATTCACGATAGTTGAAGAACCTTAGAATGGTAAAGTTATTTTCGTGTGATCTATAGGTCACAGGTTTGACCTGTAAAAGTAGCCACTAATGCTAGCATTAAAGTAGGTTCAGAGGCGGATTTAGGTTTAAATTTTATGGGTTTAACCTTTAAGATTTTTAGCATTGAATCAATTATATTCTTAAAGTTATGAGTTCGTATATATTTTTTGTTGTAATTTTAGTAAATTTTTCCACTTAAATTTACGCTCTATATCGAAAATTATGGGTTCAATTGAATTTGTCACATACACGCTACATACGTCTCTGCGTAGACTGTCTACATAACCCCCCTTAGAATGTTACGAGGCTTTCCTTTCTTTTTTTCTCGATAGCACATATCATTTTTAAAGACATGTGGTCAATCGTTATACTGATAGTTATTTAGGATTGTTCGACCAATCCTCATTACGTGGTTGTGTTAAAGTTTATTTGTTCATACATGCAGCGTGATACAATCTTTTGTTTGCTGTGCAACGTAGTTAGATTTAACCAGTTTTTCATTCAACATACGTGATAGTATCTGTTGGTTCTTGATAAAAGAAATTAAGGGAAATAACTGGGAAAATGACAAGAAAATAAAAAATATATTGGAATAGATGTAAAAGGAACTGAAGCTGAAAATACTATATTATTTTATTGCATTTGGACTACAATTTATAAAGAAATACTAACTTAAAAGACCTAAAAAATCAGCACAAAATATGCTGAAAATAACTAACTCCTAAAGACTCGTTCACTCCTAAAGACTAGTTCAAAATTATTTCAAATTCAAACTAAATTACTGCAGTAAATAGCTGAAACAGTACAATAATTTTACTGAGAGCAGCTTCTAAAGCATATTTCTAACACTCCTCCTTGCTTTTGAAGCTGCAAATTCTGAATTTGTCCCTTGTAAACCTTTAACTGGAAGCGACTTTGCACGTAAATCTGTCAACTGATCTTTGCACTTGCAGTGAATCGAGTTCACTTCTGTATTTTGCTGCATCTCATGATTGTTAATGAAATAAGTTTTCAGGTTCATTTGCATCTTGCCTTGAGACTTGTCAACTTTCTTCCAGAATTGCATTTTCTGAAATATTGACAACTTCTTCCTTACCTTATTTTCACATATGTCCTCAGTTGGAGAATTACCTGCACTTAGTAGATTCTTTTGACTCCATTCTTCATCTTCGGCTGGATCAAATGAGAAATTTTTACCTCTCATTTTAACCCTTAAAATCTCAAGTCCAGTTGCATCATAAATGAAACAATATTTATCTTCAAAGGATACTTTAAATTCTTTTTCCATTAGTTGTCCAACACTTAATAAATTTTAATCAATATCAGGAACATAAAGAACATCTGAAATTTTCTTAGTACCTGAATTTGTTGGGATTGCAACAGTTCCTTTTCCTTTAGCAAGAATATAATCACCATTTCCAATTCTGAATTTCTTATTTCCTATAGACGTGAACTCTTTGAAAAGATTTCTGTCATATGTCATGTGGTTTGTACAACCACTGTCAATCAACCAAAAATCAGATTTTTTGGTTGAAAGTATAGTTGCCACAAACAAGTGATCTTCTTCTTCTTCATTGGCGACTTGGGCATCTGCTTCATGCTTTTGATATTTGCCTTTGCAAATTACAGCTTCATGACCAAGTTGGTTGCAAATTTTGCACTTTGCATCTGGCCTCTTCCAACATTTGAATGGTGGATGACCTTTTTTGCCACAGTGCTGACAAGGCGGGTAATTTTTTTTAACATTATTACCCTTGCTTTGAGTTTTGTGGTTGGCTGTCAGGGCTCCTTCAACCATACCATCTTGCCTCATAAGCCTCCTTTGCTCTTGTGCCTACAAAGTATTTAATAATTCTGCCAAGGTAATCTTGGATAGATCCTTTGTATTTTCCAAGGTAGTTATGGATACTTTACATTTTTCAGGCACCGTAACAAGAATTTTTTCAACAATTTTTGAATCTTTAAGTTTAGTACCAAGCAATCTTACCTTGTTAACAATGCCAAGCAACCGATCTGAGTATTCTTTGACAGTCTCAGATTCCTTCATTTTCTGCAACTCGAATTCCCTTATTAAATTCAACACCTTCATGCCTTGTATTCTTTCATCTCCTGTATATTCTTCCTTCAGATAATCCCAGATTTCTTTTGCTGATTTGAGAGCCATAACTCTCGTGAAAATTGTTGCAGACACACCAGCAAACAAAGTTGTTTTCGCCTTTGATTTCCTGGTTTTCTTTCCTTGTGACTCTTGATCTGGGTCACCGTGGGATTGTTAGGCAGCGAAAGAACATCATAATCCTCTTCCACGGCCTCCCAAAGATCTAAAGCCTCCAAGTAAGTCTCCATTCTCACTGCCCACAGTTGGCAATTGTCACCATCAAAGACTGGAGGAGCCAATTGAGAAAAACTCATTTCAGTCTCCATCTCACTCAAGAAAAGATTTTACTTAGGTCCCTTAAGAAGATGGCTCTTGATACCAATTGTTGGTCCTTGATAAAAGAAATTAAGGGAAATAACTGGGAAGATGACAAGAAAATAAAAAAATATACTGGAATAGATGTAAAAGGAACTGAAGCTGAAAATACTATATTATTTTACTGCATTTGGACTACAATTTATAAGAGAAATACTAACTTAAAAGACCTAAAAATNTTAAAACCCGAAAGTTTTTAATTTTTACCCCCGTTTACGCGGTTTTTTCGAAGGTTTTTCGTGGGGGTTTCCGGTCGTCGGACCGTACGGGACCGTACCCTTTCCAAACCCAAACTTTACCCCAATTCCCTTTTACGGCCCTTCAACCGTAAGTTACCCCGACCCCTTTCGTACCCGCTTTTCGGTNCCGTTCGACAATTAGTATTTTAACCTAAATTCTACGTCAACGGGTTAATCTTTAGGAGTAGTAGCCCTTTTTTAGAGTTTTTTCCCCAGGTTAGTTATACGGCGTTACTCTACATTTTTTACTACGGCACCCGTTAACAACGAATTTTTTCAACAATTCTGTAAANCTTTTAATTAGTACCAAGCAACTCTTACCTGTTAACAATGCCAAGCAACCGATCTGAGTATCTTTGACAGTCTCAGATTCCTTCATTTTCTGCAACTCGAATTCCCTTATTAAATTCAACACCTTCATGCCTTGTATTCTTTCATCTCCTGTATATTCTTCCTTCAGATAATCCCAGATTTCTTTTGCTGATTTGAAAGCCATAACTCTCGTGAAAATTGTTGCAGACACACCAGCAAACAAAGTTTCTTTCGCCTTTGATTTTCTGGTTTTCTTTTCCTTGTGACTCTTGATCTGGGCCACCGTGGGATGGTTAGGCAGCGGAAGAACATCATAATCCTCTTCCACGGCCTTCCAAAGATCTATAGCCTCCAAGTAAGTCTCCATTCTCACTGCCCACAGTTGGTAATTTTCACCATCAAAGACTGGAGGAGCCAATTGAGAAAAACTCATTTCAGTCTCTATCTCACTCAAGAAAAGATTTTACTTAGGTCCCTTAAGAAGATGGCTCTTGATACCAATTGTTGGTTCTTGATAAAAGAAATTAAGGGAAATAACTGGGAAGATGACAAGAAAATAAAAAATATACTGTAATAGATGTAAAAGGAACTGAAGCTGAAAATACTATATTATTTTACTGCATTTGGACTACAATTTATAAGAGAAATACTAACTTAAAAGACCTAAAAAATCAGCACAAAATATGCTGAAAATAACTAACTCCTAGAGACTAATTCACTCCTAAAGACTAGTTCAAAATTATTTCAAATTCAAACTAAATTACTGCAGTAAATAGCTGAAACAGTAAAATAAATTTACTGAGAGCAGCTTCTAAAGCATATTTCTAACAGTATCTTCAATTACACAACAACTATGCGGATAACTATTAAGAATTGTTTGAGGCCACAAAATGCTCCCTTGAGACGGCAAATAGAGAAAGAATGATCAATGAAAATGATTGTAAAATTTCCAAACTCACGAGAGTTGGAAATCGAGAAGAAAAGAAATACTATCTTTTTGGCAGAAAAGAAGAAAATTTTCAAGATAAAATGATCAAAGAATTTTAGACTCTGCAAAAACAGAGACTAAACTTCTCAAGGAAAGATATTAGCTCATTGATATGGCTTCGGCACATCGATTTAAATGAAAACCAAGTAATAAACTACAGAAAAATGCAATGGATACTCAATACGTAGCCTGTAGGCATTTTAACTCTTACATCGATTCCGGTAGCAAAACAAAACTGTTCAATTTATTTTCCTAATGTGACAATTCTACATAAACTGCAACCAAAAAGTACTCCTTGCTTCTTTGATTCATACTATGTTGTTTAACATGACCAGCAACTCTCCTATATGTCCTCAGGACCATTGACATCCTGGATTTCAATGTAACAAAGTTAGTCCAACAGTTCTAGGTATCAATTAATTCCAATAGCTCACGCGTTTAGATTCATGGAATTACCTTATTTGCAATCACAGCTCCATCTGGAATTTCCAACTTCACTCCGGATTTAGCAGTGACATTCACTTTTCCCTAAAAAGTAGGAAAACATAAAATTTTAGGCACTACTAAATCAAAAATGAAAATGGCATCAGCTTACAGAGCAAAGAATCGACTAAGAACAAACGAAGACCAGCTCCACTAGTGAACGTGTGAGTTCAAGGGAGACAGAAAAAATGATTTGTAAATTACCTTCAGAGTAATGCCAGCTCCAAAATATACGTCACCCGTGACCTTCAAGCTATCTAGTTCAATAATGCTGGGAATTGACTTGAAACGACTTAAGAAATTGGCAACCTGAGTAGACAAGTAGAGTTATTAGCTGCATTCAACAAAAGATCGACCAATTGCAGGAAATAATCTTCACCTTCTTGAATTCAGGTCCCAACTCAATAGAAGGGTTAGAAGGATTTGTTCTGGCTGGATTCCGAATGACATAGCCATCATCAGTCAAGGTGTAAAGATCAGACTGTAAAGGTTATCCAGGTGAGTAAACATACTAAAGATCATTGATCAAAAGGGGAAGGATATAATCAGTAATCATGAGAAGACAGAAAAGTTACCTGGACAAGAAGCAGATCTGAACTTGCTTTCACTGGTAGGAAACGAGACCTAGGAACATTAGCTCCAATAGCCCGATCAAAGAACTGGTTTGTTTTTAAAAAAAGAGTAATGCTTGTAAGAGCCAAATTTCATCAGAAAGAGGAAACAAGATGACAAAAGTATCAAGAAATCATCTTCATGGAAAATGTTTTCCTGAAAAATGGTTGGTGAGTGAAAAAAAATCCAGAAAACATATATATTAAAGATAAATAGATTTATTAGCAAATCATAGAGTGTTTTGATGAAGCTCTTGAGTAATAAAAACTAACAATAAAGTTTACAAGTAAAGACAGTTTTTTAAGGAAAATGACTTCCGCTCAGAAGTGAGGTAAGTCATTCTCCCTCCTTTGACACTAGATTATCTAGTAACCGAACAACCAGAAAATGACTTCCTCAGAAAATCTTGAAAATGACTTCCGTCATACCAAACCACTAAAGGAATGGCATTAGTGATTTAAAAGCATAGAGTTTAGGCTTTAGATACCCTAATTGCAGCACCAGCAGCAGTTTCAAGTTGAAGAACTTTAATCCCATCCACTTCCTGCAGATTAACTTAGCTACATCGGGCTCTTATGCAAAGTATTGAAACATTAAAATCACAGTCTCGACTAGCAGAAACTGATACCTTGGGGTTTGGAATTATCTCCATCTTGAGTGCATCTGCTTCTACAAGTCTTTTAATAGCTTTTAGATTCACCCACCTGTTAGTAAAGCCAAGGGTTCAGTCAGTGCATTTTCAATAGAAAAGGAAGTAATAACATAAAGCTTAGAGTAAGTCAAAAGACTTGTCTCAACTTACAAGTTGTTGGTGTTAAAAATTTTGAACTTTTCTATTGACTTGAATTCATTGACCTGTATCAAACAAGTTCCTTAAACATCACCCGTGCCACCTCCGGGATCGAATAGAAAGAAGAAAGGAAACACATAATTGGATCTGACGTTGAGAAAAATGTCAATTCAAACTAATCTTGTAATACCATCAAATACTAATCTCGCAGGAGCAATGAACAGCCCACAACTTAACATTTCTATATAAAATACATGCAACAGGATAAGCTTTTTCATTTGAAAGAAACACATTGATGAGTAAACATAATGCGGAGTAATCTGGATTGTCAGTGAAAGAAAGTATCATACCACTATAGTTCGCACAGTTACTCAAGCATATGAGGTTTTCCAAATAGATAACTCGAGTGAAATTTACTTTGAAAACCTCCAATTGGACTCTTCATGTGTATTCATAACAGTTACAAGGAAGCAGAAAACTAGAAGGATAAAAAAGAAATAGAAGAGGCACAACTCACATGTTGATCAGGAACTTGTGCTATCTCCAAAAGCTGCAACACCACACAAAATAGAGGCTTAATAAGCAAGTTGTGTGAAAGTAACTCATTAATTGCAAAATAGAAATATTTAAATAGGTTTCTTTAATAGACGTGGAGTCCGGCCCAACTTGTGCACACCTCATCTAAATAGGTATTAATGCAGCAAAATAACTATCCTAAGCTCTCTCCAAAAATTAAAAGGAAAAAAGAAGAAGAGAAAACTAAGAAAGAGTGGCAGCACACTTTAAGGATGAGCTTTGTCTAGATGCAGTTCAAACTGATATCTGTTCATCTGGCTATTTCCAGCTATAAGTCAAGTCCAAATTAAACTATGAATTCTGAATAGAGGGGGCAATATGAGCAAACAGGTGCTAAAAGGTGTGAGAATATGAACACGTGTGAAAAGTCACCCATGTGGTAAACCACGCACCTGTACTTTTCCTTCGTACGAGATTAGGGTGCCACCTTTGACATCAGCTAATGTTTTTGGCGTCACCTGCAATAATTGTCAAGCTTTAGTAACTAGAGAAATTGTGTTTACCAACCAAAACACAGCCTCAAAAGGCATTGCAGTCAGGACCTCCATGCAGTACTCGTTCTTGTTCTGGATCAGATGATTTAGGATTTCTGCAATGTCGAATTAAGGAAAAGAAATTGCACTTGATGGTGATTGAGAAAAGCTTATCGCTATTGGAAGCTTCTTATGATTGAGATGCTAGGAAATGAACCCAGGTTTTCATTCACAATTGAGAACTATTGAAAGGATACTCAAATCAACCACAGCGCCCAAGTTATCTGAATTGGCAACAAAGACGTATTCCTTTCCCTGTAACAGATTGAAAAAAAATCGTAGCCGATGTTACACAAACAATAAAAATAAAGAAGACCAGCCGAAAGCAAGGCAGTATCAGAAGACAGCAGTAAAATGCAGAGCAGAACCTTTGATATAAGTGCATCAAGCTTGCCACTATTCATCAAAGCAGGGAAAACATCACCATGACCTGGGGGGTTCCTGTACATCCGAACAATGTACATGAGATGATTGAATTGCTAAGATGAAACCAACACAATTAAAAGGGAGTATAACAACAGGAAAGAAATCAGAACCTATGCGCAATCTGCTCTAGTTGAGATGCAGTATGAGTTGGGAATTCAATAAACTTAGCCTATGCATAAAATGATTTCTTTATGCAGAATGATTTATGTCACAGAAAAGCCAAATGAATTAGCATTTGCACTCTCATTCTTGCAGCAGGAAACATAGTAGTATACTTGGCCACAAAGACAAGACAAATACAGAAATTCTTTATATTGTTTCCTGATAACTACAAGAACAAGTACAGATTAGATAAATCATTTCTTAAAAGATGATCTTTAAGATGCAGATTTTGTTATTCCTTATAGGTCAGTACTATGCCTAAAATTTCTGTAAATATTCCAAATGGTGAGCTGATTCCTCTTTCAGTTGTGATCACAGAATCCACACATTAAACAGTTTAATTACCATCCATCTTTGCCAGCATTGCCTTTGCAAGGAAGTGGAGCAAAGTCTTCAACAACCAAACGAGGGTACTGGCTCTGCAAAAATTTATAGAGGAAACATCAAACAAACCTATTCAAATCAATATTTTGGGTGAAAAAAACAAGCATTGTGATACCTGATATCATTGATGTTAAGTCCCACTAACCTGATTGAATGTGTGAATCTCAATGTTTGAGTTTGAATATTTTTGTACGATCTACATAGAGAATGCAATAGTAAATCAGCAGCTGAAAACAGAGAATGATCATGGATTAATATGTAACACACTGATATTATTTCACCTTCAGTGTATCATCATGGGTGTTGAACGAATTCATCAAAAGCAAGGGAACGCTGCATCCATACTTGGTATTGAGAGCCTACAGACAGCATTCTTTAGTTGGTGAACAACCAAACATGAAACATCATGGTGAACTAAATTGATCATAAAATCATAGCTACCTCAATTTGTCTGACAATCAAGTCGAGGAATGTCAAACCATTACGAACTTCAATAACTGATCTTCATGAAAGAAATACAAACTTCAGACTCTGAGAAGGTATGAAGGTTGACAAACACACCAGCTAAAACTTCCATATTACAATGAGAATATCATATCACTGTATGCAGTCAAATTTGAAAGCAAGAACTTCTGAAGAACTGTAGAAGAGATTCCTACATTTCCAGATAAACTTTCCAAGAATCCAATTATCATCATATACACCGCAAAGTGCTTTGGAAAAGCAATGCAAGGTAAAAGGTAAACTCTTTGATCAGTGCTTTAGAGCATTGTAAGGAGGTAGCTCCTTGGCTGCCAACAAGTGTAAATCTGATCTACTTCTAAATTAACCATCAAATTTTTCCTCCTATCTGAACTTTTGAAAAGGTAACACAAGCAGAAAATGGTATAGTATTGATCTCAGTATTATAATACTGCCAAATTCCATCTAGTAGCAGGCAGCAATTGGACTGTTTCACATCCAAATGATGCAAGCTGCAGTCGATAATGCCATCAGATCAACCAAAATACGTAGTTGCTATCCACCTTTGACTACACAGTGTTAGAAAACTATCAAACACAGAGTAGAAATAGAAACCAATAACCAAGTTTTATCGCTTTATAGCCTTCACCAATGAATGCATGTGTAAGGAAAAAAAAACTTGAAAGCAGGGTATCATGTGCACAGGTACAATAAAATATAACAAGATTCAGAATAACAATCAGAAAGTTTCTTGGACATTACTGGTGAATCAATAAAATATTGTTGCTAAGCAAAAGACAGGATTTAAGACACTATTCATCCATATGCACTCTCCAGTGACATGTAGTAGAACAGAAAGGAAGTTTGGGACAATGTGTTCACTAAGATTAGCTTTAAGTCCACTAAAGCAAACAAAGGTAAGCCACATATGTATAGCATAACCCTGTAAAACATAACTTTTAGACCAAAAAATAGCTATATTTGTGGCAAATACATACTTTGGACCAGTGCACCCCATTGTCGTTCCCAAGCCTCCATTGAGCTTTAGGACAACAAGTTTGTCTAAGAGCTTCTTCGTTTCTGCAGGATCTGCAATGATTGAGATTGTGAAGCTTCTTCAGAAACATTTTCAGCTGGATCTGATTTTCTTAAGAAAATCATCTTCACACCAGAGGCAAATCTAGCACCTCCCCGCAGATTCAGTTAAACTCATTGTTTTTTGCTCACACCATGTATACATATGTAAAATAATACCTTCAGAGAGAGGTGCTAACTTGTCATAAGGCACCACCACGTCATCGGTTGGCGTCTGGATCTTACTCCACTCAACATGTTGAGCCTCGCCACTACAATTCAAATGCCATAAGATCATGAGTTGATCTGCTACTTTTAATTTTTGCAAGCTAAAACTAGCATTATTTGTAAAGGCTCCAAAACTTATACCATATCCGAGATAATCAGAATTTATAGACACTACTAAAGGACTACCTAAAATCACCTAATCCCCATTATCTCAAATCCATGCAAAAAAAAACACATTAAGCTAACCACATCCTAAAGTTCAGTAAATTAAAATGATTAGCGCTATAAAGTTCAGTAAACAGAGATAGCAGCCCAAATTGTACCTTAGATAGCGAGTGACAAGGTTAATAAATCCCGATTTCTCATTATCACTGCAAAAAAAAAAATAAGTTCACACGAAATAAAAAATTCAAAAAAACATTATCAGGCCCGGATTAAAAAAAATTGAGCAAGACATGAGAAATGAGAATTGAGATAAATAGTAGCATGCAGCAAGTAAATCTAAGCAAAACTACACACACACATACACACACAGCAGAATAGTAGATCCACGTAAATCGAGCATTGAATTGAATTAACCACATTCTAAAGTTCAGTAAATTAAAACGAACTTTAGAATTCTCATTATCACTGCAATAATTTATCAGGTACGGATCAAAAGATGATCGATATATGGAGAAACTGAGATAAATAGAAAATGCTGCTAACATGCAGCAAGTAAATCCAAGCGCGCGCGCGCACACACACACAAAAAAAAAAATAAACTGAATTGTAGATCCACGTAAATGAAATCGAGCATTAAATTAACAACATTCTAAAGTTCAGTAAATTAAAACGAACTTTGGAATTCTCATTAACACTTCAAAAAAATTATCAGGTACGGATCAAAAAATGAGCGATATATGGAGAAACTGAGGAAAATGCTGCTAACATGCAGCAAGTAGATCTAAGCAAAACTACGTACATTCACACACACAAAAAAGAGAAAATAGAAATGTGAAAACTGAGATTTGGAAAAAAAATAAAAAAAAGTTGCCTGATTTGGTTAAGGCTGGCAACGGCAGATTTCAGGTTGGTGAGCTTTTCGGAATCAGCAGGACTGAGTGTAGCTGTAGCCATTAGAGAGATGTATGAGTTCCTTATTAATTAATATTCAGTGATTCGAAAATTGGAAGAAAGCTTAAAAACAGAGTGAGAGATGGAGGTTGGGGAGGGGGAGGAGTATTTATAGAGTGAGGAGAGTATGAAACAAGTGGCAGGTAATGAGGTTAAAAGTACAATTTGTGGGCGATAGAAAACTGAGAATATGCAGGGGATCTGACTTGTTTGAGGAGACACTTGTAATGAGTTGGTTATTCAAAGACTCGAGAGAGACTCTATTAATTGTATTTTTTTTTTTTTTTTTGAACACGAGATAGTTTATTTAATACTAGGAAACATTAGTACAGGGATCCATTGGATCATTACACATAGCATTAATGCCGTCTATGGCATTTTGATTTCCAAAAGTAGCTAGAGTTCTACAAGTGCTTTTAAGCACTAATTTCTTACTAAAACCTCTATCCCTGTCCGCCAGCATCTTGGCCATGACAAATTGGAGGAGGCATAACAAAATAAACTAGCTTATTGATGATAGTCTGACTGGCAGCTTCCTTGGCCAGCAAATCTGCTATTCCGTTTTCTTTCCTGAAGCTATGCCGGACCACTAGATCCTTCTCCTATTAATTGTAACTAGTAGCGGTCAATATTAAAATATAGGCCTAAGAAGTATCGGGAGAGGTGATCAGGCAGGACATGGTACGACTGCAGATTTCCGAGGAGATGGTCCTTGATAGGAAGGCCTGGAGGTCAAGCATTAGGGTTGTAGGTTAGGGGGTAGTAGAGCTTTCCTTACTTCATACCGAGGGTGAGGCGGAATTGGATTAGGGTTGATTTTAGATGGCTCGCAGTTTATGTTGAACCCACACTATCCTTGCTGTTTATCTTAGCCCCGGGCCTTAGTTACTGGTTACTGTTATTGCGTGTCATTTATCTTTTGGTTGTTATGCTTCTGTTACTATTACTGTTTCTACTGGAGTTACTAATGAATTGTCTTTTCTTTTTCCGTCTCTCTGAGCCGAAGGTCTATCGGAAACAGCCTCTCAGCCCTATCGGGGTAGGGGTAAGGTCTGCGTACACATTATCCTCCCCAGACCCCACTTTGTGGGATTTTACTGGGTAGTTGTTGTTGTTGTTGTAAGTTAAAGTGCCATCTTACTTGTAAACATATAAAATCTTTATTAAACTAAAGGAGACTTATATAGTAGTCGAATAACTGTTTTATTCTGTATCTTTTTTTTTGTATTATATTATCCAATATTTAGTATTATTATACTAAATAAAAAATTTTAGTAGCATATTATTTTGTTTAATATTTTTGTGTGCTACTCTCCTTTAATATAATAAAAGATATATATTTTATTATACTTGAAATATTTCATATTGTAAATTTTATTTTTTCAATAATATTATCTGAATGTTAATGAATAAATAGACTTTTTATTTTAAAAATAAAAAGAATATGATTTTTTTTTTAAAAAAATTTAAGAAATTAACTAACCTAAACCAACCCTTACCTACGTTTGAGTAGTTAATTTTAGGTAAGTTAATTTCTTTGTGTTCTGTAACAACTATTAACACCTATTACTACTCCTTCACATGGCTCTGATACCATTTGTGTTCTGTAACAACAATTCAAGAAATTGATATTGAAGCTTATCTGCAACAACACTTCAAGACAATCGTGGAAGAATCTTCCAGCAATATCAAAAATAATAAACGTAAAAAGAAAAGAATGAGAAGGCCAAACCTTGTGAATTATTAGGGTAATGAAGACAGACGACTTTTATAAAGAGATTCTTTAATAAATCAGAGGCTCACCTTATCATGTTCGAGCACATTATTTAAAGTTGTAATTATTTGAATAACATAGGCCCACCTTATCAACAAATATCGGGCAATAATTGTTTGTTAAGAAAGGATATATTATATAAGGATCCTATAGGATTTAGTTAGGAACGGGCTTTTCTTTTTAGAATTTTCTTTCATAAGTTTTCTTCTCAGGAAAGAACACCCTCTCTTGTTCACAGTTTGTATCTATAAAAATTTTGAATAAAATTCAATAAAGGTCTACTATTGGCCACAACCTCGTCTTAACTAGGTATTACTAATTTTTGTTAATTCCTCTTATATTAGGATTCATTTAGCCTAAATGATAGGCTAAATACCGTTCCGTTGAACTTAAGCATACTAAGCTACTATGAACATGTTTTGTTATCGTTAACAACTGTATTACCCATCGGTTCTAAGGTTGAGATTACAGAATCCAGGCAGTACAGTATTTCAGGCAGTAAGCCTAAGTTATGATTTCATAACAGGAGGTAGGGGTGTTCATAAAAACCCGAAAAATCAAACCAAATCAAACCGACCAAAAAAACCGATACTTTTTTGTTTGGTTTGGGTTTGGGTTTGAATTTTAAAAACCGATCAAATTTGGTTTGGTTTTGGTTTAATCAGAAAAAACTGACCCTAAACCGACTATAGGAGTAGCTATTTCAAATTTATTATCACACCTACTATATATGTATAGTTTTTATAATAAAGTTTTAAAAATTAAATGGTAAATGTTAATAGTTTGCACTTTTAGTATAGTTCTTTACCTTTACATTCTAGTTTGATTGGTAGTTTTCTTTTGTTTAGTGTAAGAATCCATTTCGTGTTAAAAATAATATATTTTTAATTGAGTCCTTAAATTATTCATCACTATTTGATTCAATTATCATCAATATATCTTGGTAAATAATAGATTTCTCAAAGGGCAATTGATTTGATAGTGTTATGTTAAAAATGTGGTCTCCGGAATATGTGTTTGGTAGTCTATGTCTTACATTTAAGAAAAAACCGATAAATAACCGAAAAAACCGAAAAACCGACATAAACCGAATCGAGAAAAAATCGACTTAATTGGTTTGGTTTGGTTCTAATATTTGAAAAATCGACTTACTTGGTTTGGTTTCTTTTTAGGAAAAAACCGATCCAAACCGAACCATGAACACCCCTAACAGGAGGTCCCTTTGAAAAACGCGCTGTAGCCGAGGAGGGCGTCAACGGTCGTGGGGGATTCGGGTTTTGGGTTTGCTTGATAGGACTATTCGCATGACAAGACTGGTGTCTCGGTAAAAACTTCCCCTGTAGTTCCATCGAAGCGATCCAGAACACAAATTAAATTGATTATTTTTTATTTATTTTTTCGTTTTTTATTTTAAAATAATTTTAAAACTGCCTAATTTTAGGAGAAACTATTCCCTAATTTGAATTGGTACTTTAATAATTTTTATTTTTTTATTTCAAAATAATTTTAAAACTCCAACTTGAAACTATTCGCCAATTTGAATAGGTAATTTTTTTATTTATATTTTTGTTTTATTGTTAAATAATTTTAAAACTTTAACTTTTTGGTGTTTTGTCCTAAAAATCTACATTGCCATCTTATGGTTATGCCACTTGGTATCATATAATTATTTTACTTATTTTTTTATGAATATATATAGACTACTACTCCCCAATTTAAGTTGGTAGTTTTTTATTTTCTCTTATTTTCATTTTTTATTTTAAAATAATATTAAAACTCCAACTTGAAACTACTCCCCAATTTGAGTTGGTAATTTTTTTTCTTATTTTTGTTTTGTTTAATTTAAAATAATTTTAAAATTTCAACTTGAAACTACTTCCCAATTTGAATGGCTAGTATTTTTTTTATAAAATAATTTTAATACTCCAACTTTTTTGGAGCTTTGTCCTAAAAATTTACATTTGTCATCTTATGGTTATGCCATTTGGCTTAATATGGTGGCTTTGTTTCTCCTTTTATTATATATGGACTTGACTTAATATAGTGGCTTTGCTTCTCCTTTTATTATATATAGATATAGATTATTGCTATTACGTAGCCTAATACATAGTATGTCATATTTTCATGTGATCTTCATTAACTTTCATCTTTATTTAATACCATTATCCATTTATATCCTTTTTTTGTAACAATGTCTTTTTCGAATTTGCCCCCATGCAGGATCGAACTACAAACCTCCAGTTTACAACACTGGCGCTCTACCACTGAGCTTATCAATTTATATACTTTTTTTGGTAATTAACTTTCTTTTGTATTAATCACCAAAGATGAACTGTACAAAATCATAGCCAAGCTAACTCAGCTGACTATCTTAAAGTGTAAAAGCAAACATAGCAAACCTGTTTACATGTAACACTAATGTATCTACTCTGTTCCTATAAAAAACTGCTGTATATAACTCTTAGCCCAAGTAGCTACTCTAATAGTGCAAATATATGCTATCTCCCTTGCAAGAACATCACTGCCTCGATACCTTTGCTCAAATATACGAGTGTTTCTTTCAATCCATATTGCATATGAGGTCTCAGCATGGATCATTCTGAATATGCTAGCCTTATTGGATTTTCCTTTTCCTTGTTTGATGATCCACTGAATGTGTTGGTCCCAGCAGGTGGTGATCATTTGTACACTTTGAACCCACTTCATGATTTTCTTCCACAGATCGGCTTACCGGTAATCTCCCATTCCTGCCGTCGAGAGACTTTAATAACTATAGCATGCCAGAAACGGGGAGTTGAGGTGGTTAGACCTATATATAGCATATGAACATTGCACAAAGAGGTGCTCCCTTGACTCAACCTGTCCTTGACACATAACACACTGTAGGGTAACATTTAATCCCCAGTTGGCTAGCCTATCTTTAGTAGGCAGTCTTCCATGAAGTAACAGCCACATAGTGAAGACTGCCTTTGGTCTTGCAGAGTTGTGAAAGACTAGACATTTCTAGCTCACTCTTGGTAAATCTCCTAACAGTTGTAGGTATATTTGTCTGATAATGCTCTTGTTGTGATCATTTAAGTTCTGAGCCTGTAACATGGTAACTCTTGAACCAATGATTCTTCTCACCATCCAACTTGCTTGTTGAGGTATTGGCATATGTTGTAGTCGAGGCAATCTCCACAGCTCCTGAAGGGAAAACTTCTACCACTCGAAATGGACCAGACCATCGTGACTTAAGCTTACCAGGGAACAACCGTAGTCTAGAGTTATAGAGCAGTACCATGTCCCCGGGTTTGAAATGTCTCTCAACAATGTTCTGGTCATGCAACTTCTTCATTCTCTCCTTGTACAACTT